TACAACACTAAAACAAAGCTACGATAAAAAAATACTATAGCGCACCAGTCAAATTAACTATAGTATTTTATGATACCTTTGAGGTGTTTTTTGAGCTTGAAATTTAGAAAGAACTATACTATTTTGTTGTCGTTGTCGATTCTCTCTAAAGCTGCTTTTTAAGTGCTTATGATGACAAACGACAAATGATTGTTCCACACTGTAAAAAATAAAACCGTCATTTTTATTGGTAAAAACCGGCAGCTGTGGTTGCCAGAACTTTACCGTTAAAAATACGTTAGGAACGTTAATTTTTACATTTCAGTTTTACAGACTTAAATTAAAATTTACAGCAATAAACCGTATTTCATTTTCTGATAAAATGTTGGTTTACCAACCTTTTGAAAAATGTATATTTTGCACCATTGTAATACTCTGACAACCAACAATCATCACAGCAGTGATGAGAATTACATGAGCAATCAAAGCTCTTCACAAGCAGTCTTCTTATAGAAGGATAATATGAAGAAGCTGCACAGTATCATTCACACAAACATTAAACACCATCATGGTAACAAACATGAAATTTAAAAAATGCAATAAACATTAATTTAACAACATTAAATGTAACATAAAACCCTAATGAACAACTGATTAGAAAATAAACAAGAAAACTATGAGGAACCATAATTATTTCAACAAAAATACATAAAGTGTGAAGTGTCACACAGGGAATTGGAATGTCAATTTATGGTTTTTCACTGTAAATTATGCAATGAGTTGTTCTTTTTCACTTTCAAAAAATGTAAATTTAACAGTATTTCACAGTAAAATTATATCACAGTCATTAACGTATATAGTACGGAAACTTTCTGTTAACATTAACAGTTTTGCACTGTAGCATTTTTAAAGTCTTTTACCGTTAAAAATCACGATTATTTTTTACAGTGCCAAACCTATAGGTAATTTGTTCTTCTGTTGTGTCCAAAACAACATTGGACACTGACTTTCATGGCATAGCCAAAACATATGATTTTGTGTGTATATATATATATATATATATATATATATCACTCAATGTCTGGCTAAACACTATATATTAGTAATTTTTCAATATTGATATTTTCAGTCAACAAAACCATAACAAATTGGCAGAGGTGGCAAAATGTCTGCTCAATTCAACTTCCCAAACAAAGTTATTCACTGTATCTCACTGTTAAATGGGGCAAGTCTGAACTTGCCAAAAGGAAAATCAGATTCACATTCCTCAGCTATTCTTAGGCTAAATTATAAAAGTAACGGTATACCTATACAGAACAATGAAAATATTGTCTTTGAAAAGCCAGTGTTTGGAGGTGATGATTCTGAACATGATGTATCCAATGATAAGCCTCATATGATCAGACATTTGAAGAAGATAATAGGAGGATGGACTAAATCCTTGTTTATCAGCAGACATGCCATGACATGGTTAGCATGCTTAAATCTGTTTGACATATTTGATTTACATATACAAGTAAAAACCTGTTAAAGGCATTGTCAAACAAGCCACCTCATGACGTCAAGAGGACAAGAGAATCAAACTAAATTACAGAATTATAATTTGTACTTTTCTACATATATTAACGATAGGGCCAGTTGATTTAATCTACATCAAGTCATGTGATTCCTATTTTTTCTCTTCAGCTGGTTGTGTTATTCAAGTTTGTGAAAATAGCGCTGCAGCTATAGTTTGGAGTAGTTACTGCAATAGGGGGCAGGGCACAGGGGGCATTAGGATCACTTTATTTAAAACAAAATTCACATTTAAATGAGCTAAAATAACAACGGATCAAGATATGTCTAGTTATTTCTAAAGGATATAGCCTACATCTTTCAAATTATGCAAAGCTCTAAATAGGGTAGAAATTGTGAGTGGGGAGGAATGGGCACTTCAAATATTGTGCATTGGTGGGCCTTGAAGACAAAAAGGTTGAGATCCACTGGTCTATGGGCGTTACTATACAACACGTGGGCATATTTTACTGTATATTTGCCTCGATTAGAGACCTCATTGTTCATGGTGTGGCACTCATGTAATGTTACATTGTCTACATTGCGCCTCTGTTGTCACGTTGCATAACTTATCTGAAACCACTTTAATTCGATTTCACAACCGCTTCCTCAAAATTGAAAAATTCACAAATACAAAAGTCACTCCATTTTCTAAAGCAGTAAGTTTTTTAAGCATACATTTATAAAACAGTTACATTGCCCCGTCGCAAACAGTAGCCTATCGGATAACAAACAACAATAGTGAGACTAGGCTAAGTGGCTGAACCCATGACAATATGGGTTGTCGTTAACTTTGTATCTCTACATTTGTTCTACGTTTTAGCTCAGCTAAATATATCTAATGAAACGCTGGTTAAATTCACGATTAACAGGGTCCATTCGTGTTGCCTCACCTAACAGAAATGAGTGCACGTCCTCCAGAAGCGCTCCAAGATAGTGACTCTTTCTCTTCTGTGCCGTGGGGGCTCCAGCACTCCATGCGTTTTGCTTTTCTTTCATTTACACATTACTGATTTAGCAGGGAAACCCGAATCGTTTGGGACTCATTTAAAAGAAGTTTAACCATTTAAAAAGGTATATAAACGTTGTAATTGTATGTGTAGTAAGTTGCTAGTATGCTTAAAATATGTTCATGAAAAAGAAAGTGTTGCGAGAAAGCCGGGTTCATTTTCTCCTCCCTTCCTGCCGCGCTTCCTACATGACGTCGAATGGGAAATGGGAGAGTTCTCCGCTCATCTACGCCCTGGATCACTGGATCAGTTTACACACTTATTTTATTTATTTTTTTATTATCAAACTTTATTAAGCTTTTTTTATTATTACTGATTTTAGAGATCATCAAGAACGAAAAAAATAATATGTTACAAATACCAGTGAGCTGCCTGCCTATATCTAGACAATATTTTAAATATTGATTAGAGCACTCATTCAAAACTCTACTTATAGCTATAGAGTATTGCACTCTTTGCTGAACAACATAAACTAAAGACTGCAGTTGGACTGTGTCTAATACACTGTAATCTCAATTGATATATTAGTTTTCCTGTAATCCTCAAATATGTATTGTTAAACTTTTCCCACTGGCTTTTATTTAATAAATGCCTTTCCAGATGTTCCAATAGGGTCTGGCTGCAGAATACGGGGCGAGTGGAGCTCCACTCAAAGGCGGAAGTACGTCACCTCCACTGCGCCGGAGCGCATATATATACGTCATCTCCACTGCGACCGAGCGCATATATACGTCTCCTCTACTGCGACCGTAACTGAATCTAAGCCCAACTTTAATCTTTTTGTGTTGATTTAAAATTATTTTATGACTCTTCTTTTCTAAGAAAGCTGCTAAAACTACTTTGTTGCTTAAAGAAATTATGGTTTCTTTGTAAATCACCTCCTGAATTTATGTGCTTGTTTCGTGATCTTTTTTTGTTTTTATTTTATCTATTTTTGTACTTGATATATCCCCTGGGATTTGTGTTCAATAAAATAAAAATAAAAAATCTACTGCGACCGAGCGCATATGTTTATGTATATATATACATGTGTGTGTGTATATATATATATATATATATATTAACCGAGCGCATATATACGTGACCTCGCCCTAATCTTCACACACAATATCAAAGGAGTATACTAAACTTTTACGGTTTATGACTTTTAAATATATTATTATAGTAAAAATAATTTCAGAATTTTCTATTTAAAGCTAAATAACATGTATAAAACAACCAATGTAAAATAATGAAGAATAATTTCCACAATTCAGTTTTAATTGTTTTTATGTAAAAAAAAATAATCAAATAATCCTAAATTTTTACAACACAATAACTGCAAGGGACCATACTGTAAAAAAAAAATACAAATATGAAAAAAGTAATTATTTAGAATTTTGTATTCAAAGCAAAATAACGTGCAAATCAACCACAGTAAAATAATGAAGAATAATTTCCAGTTAATTGAATTGATTAAATATATATATATATATTGACAACACACCTGAATTACAAAAAAAGTGACCAGAATTGTTACATGAAAGACACATTGCACGCACACACACTTCACTGTTCAAGACCTCCATCATCCAAAAAGCAATCCCAGCTACAGTAGCCAGGGTTGTCATCTGAGGAGTAAAAGCCCAAAAGCACTCCCCGTTGTCCATTTCCCCGGTAGCCAGCCCCACAGTCTTTGTAAAGCTGGCTGCAAATAGAGATGGTGTACGGCTTTCTGTACATTTGACAGTGCCTCTCTGAGAATCTTTTCCAATTCACTACACCTGTTCAATTTCAAAACATAATGAAAGTCACAATTAAGACAATAAATGAACAAATCTTTAACCCATTTATTCCCAATTTTTTCCCAGACACAAAAATATCCAAATCATGTGTCATGAGTATCCCTTTGAAACAATCAATCATAATTTTTTTTAAATTTTCATGGAAAAGAGCGTGAAAAAGTGAGTTTTATGATCAGTCACAATTGTGACCGGTGGGATAATGTGTTGCATCAACCATTGGACAGACTGAATATAGGTCTATTTGACCTGTGCAGTGTGTGTGTGCGGGGTGTGTGGTGTGCGCGTGCGTGTGTGTGTACGTGTCTGTGTGTGGTGTGCGAGCATGCGTGTGGTGTGTGTAGTATGTGATGAGAGTGTGTGGTGTGCATGCGTGTGGGGTGTGGTGTGTGTGCGTGTGGGGTGTGTTGCGGTGTGTGTTGTGGTGTCCGTGAGCGGGGAGTGCATGTGGGGTGTGTGATGTGAGTGTGTGGAGCATGTGGGGTGCATGGTGGGGTGTGAGGTGTTGGGTGTGCTTGTGTGTGTGAGGGGTGCGTGCGGGGTGTGTGGTGTGCGTGCGGGGTGTGTTGCAGTGTGCGTGTGTGGTGTGGGTGTGCATGCGGGGTGTGTGATGTGAGTGTGTGGAGCATGTGGGGTGTGCATGGAGGGGTGTGTGTGGTGTTGGGTGTGTGGTGTGCGAGTTTGTGTGTTTCTGTGTATGTCTGTATAGTAAGTTAGGTAAAATATCTTAATTTGTGTTCTGAAGATGAACTTACAGGTGTGGAACAAAAAGAGAGTAATTAAGGACCGAATTTTAATTTTGTGGTAAACTAACCCTTTAAGACTGTTAAGTAACAGTCAAAAGTATGATTCATAGAAATTGCCTTCCTTTCATGTTGACAAATGATACAATGTTTTCTCTGCAACCACCACACCTCAGACCTCGTTGACATGAGATGTGTTGCCATGAGGGCTTCCAGTACTTCTTGGTGATGACACAACTGAGTTCTACAAAGCATGCTTTGTAAGTATTATTAATGCATTTTTACTGTCATAGGTTTATTATAATATTTTCAGCTGGAAATATGTAAACCTTACTGTGCATTTATGTTAGTAAGAACAATAAAAAAAGCACCAAAAACAATTATATTGTTAACAGTTATATTTGACTGTGAATGAAATGTGTCATTTCACACAAGTGTATATATTTGACTTATATATTCATGTGAATGAAATGAATGTCAGTGAGGAGGAAGTTTTAATTTTAAATCATTCAGGAGAAATGTAATGTCATGACACCTTTGAAACACTAAAATACAATTAAGGTTAATCTCATAATGTTTTAGTTTAATCAGTAATTCATGTCATATGCAAAGACTTGTATACAAAAGAAAAACAAACTTAATGTTTAAATTTAACTGAATTCCTGGATACACCTGTGTACATAATTCTCAAAAAAAAAATATGGTTGCGTTCAACTAAACAAAAATATGTCTAATAAAATTTATATCTAGAAAAAAAACTGTACACTGCTAAAATGTATTTAGTAATCTCCAATCTCTTGTCCAGGCTTTTGATGATGGAGACTCGTACCAACATGTGCCAAAATGAAGATGTGGTTCTGCAACCCCTGTCCATCCATCTCTCCCCTCCAAGATGATTCCTCATCATTTGATGAGGATGGGTGATGTAATGGACAATTTAGACAACATACCTCAGGCCATGTTTTGAATGTGAAATCAAATAAATTTTAAGTTCCAAAAAATTATTGTTATCCTTTGTCCTTATTTGTAATGCAGGTGTATCTTTATTAAATAATTTACAGTAAATAGCTATATTTAAATTAAAGTTTTTGGTTTTGTCTACTCACAACATTCATCCCTATTGTAGGTTTCACATATATTGTCTGTGCATAACTGTAAGCCTTTTTAAGTTTAAAGTACCTAAAGTTTTAATTGCACTGCATTAAAAACTTTTAGTTCAATGAACTAAAAATTTTCAATTAAATGCATTTGAAATCTTAAGTACATTAAACTTAAAATATGTTGTTTTTTCAACAATAGAAAATTAACTTTTTTAGGGCAACGAGTTTCCATAAATTTAAGTTCAATCAACCTGTAAGGGCTTACAGTAACAATTCCAATTAGAGAGCTCTCTAATTCAATTCTTACTAGTAACAATTATAATTAGAGAGCTCTCTAATTCAGTTTTTACTAATTACAGAGCTCTTTAATTCAGTTACAGAGCTCTGCAATTATGCATATCTTTAATTCGTTTTTTTACTAGTAAAAATTAAATTAGAGAGCTCTGCAATTGCATTCTTACTAGTAAAAACTGAATTAGAGAGCTCTCTAATTATAATTGTTACTAGTAACAATTCAATTGTAGAGCTCTCTAATTAAAAATGAATGGAAGTCAATGGAGACATATGACTAGTAAAAATTAATTTGTAGAGCTCTCTAATCGCAATTGTTACTAGTAAGAATTGAATTGTAGAGCTCTCTAATTGAATTGTTACTAGTAAAAATGCAATTCCGACGAGTAAGGCTGGGTACAATTTAAGCTAAAACGGCTTGCCATACAAAATGGAGATTTGCGTTCGTGCATCTCTTAACTAAAAAAATGTCAAACATTTAAATTAACAAGCAATCAATACAATACTCACATCTGCACACTGTACAAACATTATATTTATAAAAATCGTTAGAATTAATACCTGAAAAGAAGGGGAGAAAATCGCTGATGTCTCCCATAGCGAATGTATGGAATGTTAAAACCCCGCGAATTTACTCCGCCCCGCCCCCGCGAAGTGGAGGTGACGTATTTCCTGTTTGAGAGTGGAGCTCCAGTCGCCCACAGTCTGCAGCCAGACCCTCCTCAGATGTTCTGTTCAGCTTCAATATAACCCTATTAAAGAAAGTTGGGCCTGGAGTAAAAAGAGTTGCTAGTTAAATTATATTAAAAGTGATGCAACTACGCCATCTGGGGGCAGTTTGATTCAGTATGACTGTGGGAATCGCGCTGTACTTACCCACACTGTATATGAAGAGATAATGGGTAAGTCACGCAATTTGGGAGGTCTGGGACAATCAATGTTTTCTTATAATTCTAAGTACATATGTCTCGTATTTTGTCACACAATGTACTTATAATGATTTCAGTTAACCATTTTGAGTTTATTTGATGATTTATGTGTCGTGTAAAGCCATGTTTTAGAGATTTGCGACCAAGCAAATTTACACGTGAACTAGCGTGCTAATTGTCACTTGCTTTACATGCTATTTAGATTGTTGTCCCGAGATCTAATTGCTGAACCAAGATTCAACACTGTCATACTGTGTTTCAGGTAATAATCTAATGTTGTGTAAACGATTTTATTGTCATGTTATTTGTTGTATGCAAATCGAGTTTAGTTATCTTGCAGACCAGCGTGGTAGTTTTGAGATTAGTCGAACATGTGCTCGACTGCTGTGTTTGCAATGATAATGTTCCTTATTTTGTTATTTCAATATAATATAAAATGGATCAAGCAGTTTCATGATTGTAATGCTGAAATGTACTGTATGTAGTATGTAGGGATTATAATTCAGCCTAAATATTCTAAAACCACTATACGATTACACAGTTTTATTTTATTTCATAGACATGCAAGTCTATGCATTTTTGTTGTGAATATGTTTGATATCTAATTTGGTTTATACCCCATTAGAAGTATCATATACATTTGTAACTAGCACAAATACATTCCTGTATCTGTATAGCATTTAACCCACACTGTATATGAAGAGATAATGGATTGTTGTCCCGAGATCTAATTGCTGAACCAAGATTCAACACTGTCATACTGTGTTTCAGCAATAAAGAAACCTGATCCAAGAGATTGTCCGTGGTGATGTGTGGCAGCAACAGTAGAATGGAGTGACCCGTCACATTGGTGCCGTGACTCATCGATTTGAAGTTGGATCTTCACCCCGACCCGGGACCATTCTACTGGACAGCTTCATCACGCTGCCAGGTGGACAGCATTTCGTTTCGGACATTAGTATTAGGCCTCAGTTGCCTTTATTTAGCCTATTGAAACATTTTTCTTTGCTAGTCTTTTCTGACTATATTTCAATTCAGTTTGTTTTACTGATTGAATGACACTATTTGTTTGAATTTACTGATTGTTTGATGCTTCATGATATGCCAATATGAGCTACAGACAAGGGTATATCAGCACACCTTTTGGTGAAGGCATTGGTAGGGGGAGGGGCAATCCGATTTTTTTGGACTTTGATAGTCCTGGTCAGGGAGGTGACGTTCATGTCGTGGGGGATAGTCAGATTGCTGCAGCGGCCCCTATAGCTAGTGGGGTCGGATTTTCTTCCCAGAATCACTACACTGAACATGCACCACATGCACAAGTTGTTGATACGTCCACCCCTATTTCTACTCCCCTGTTACCTGACATAGTGAGTCAAATGAGTGACATAATAAGGACTGTTGGTCAGCAACTGGCAGATAGCGTTATCGCGCACCTCAGCCCAACACAAGCAGTGTCCACGCCTAGCACGGCACACATGTTCAGTGCACCCACCAACACATCCACGCAGAGTCTGGACTTGACTCAAGTCCAACTGGTACCTCACAGGAAGGTGAAGGAGCCTCCAACCTTCAGAGGAGATAGCACAGACACTGTGAATGTTCATGAGTGGGAAGACTTAATGAGGTGCTACATAAAGAAAATAAATATCAGAGTAGAGCAACAGGCAGAAGAAATACTCACGCATCTCAGAGGCAAAGCAAAAGATGTGGTGAGGTTTGGGATGAGGAACAGTGGAATTAAAGTGCTTGAGAACCCGGAGGCCATCTATGGTATTCTCCGTAAACATTTTGCTGCTGTCCCCTGTTCACCGCTCCCCCTAGCAGACTTTTACACTACACTGCCAAAGAGTGATGAGGGTGCATATGATTACTGGCTACGGCTCCATCAAGCTGCGGATGTTGCTGCTGACCGGCTTAAAGAACAGGGTAAAACACTAGACTCCCCTGCCCTGGAAGTGACGCGCATGTTTATCAAAAATTGTCCATCCAGAGAACTTGCCTTGACGTTCAGGTCAAAGACAATAGATAAGTGGTCTGTTGAAGAGGTCCAAGATGTGCTAGATGAATATCACACTGAGATTCGCTCTAAGGGCACTGCCTCTGCTGTGGATAAGAGACCCAACGAGAAGGTTCACGTGAACAAGGTTGAAATGCAGTGTGCTGGTGTGTCTTCACCTGACAGACAAGACCTTCATGCAGCCAACTTGACTGAGTCCCCTGCTCTTGACCGCGTCATCACAATGTTAGAAAAAATTCTACGCCAGAGAGCTACTCCTCCCCAGGCCATGTCAAATAGGGTGTTCAAGCCTAGACTTCCCAGGATTGAGGGTCTGAATATCATGCCGTGCGCTGTATGTGGTGATGCTGCACATTCTGCTTTGACTCACTGTCGTGACAGGAATCTCTGCTTCCTGTGCCATTCACCTGACCACTCTAGACACAACTGCCCAGCACAGATGTCCGCTCAGTCGGGAAACTGATGGGTCTGCATCAAGAGGAGGACAGTGCAGACCCTGTTTGTGAGCCTCCTACTGACGATACAGATGATTTTGAGTCACTATACCAGTCATTCAGTTCCAAAGTATCCCCAAGCACAACCATTGTATTTCAAGGCCTACATAAAATACAGAGGTCTGATAGTTTGTTCTATACCACTATCTCAGCAGCGAACATAACTCTGAAAGCAATGATAGATAGTGGTTCCATGGCATGCACACTGAGCGAAGCAGCAGAAGCACGCCTCTTGCAGCATAACTCAGGCCTGAGAAAATATTCTGCTGATGGGATCATCATTATCGGATGTGGCGGTCAACAAGTCACACCTAAAGCCATATATGATGTGGATGTGGTGGTGTACGATTGCAAAATGGTCATCCCAATGCTTGTGGTGCCTGGCCAGACTGATGAAGTGATATTGGGTAGCAATGCTATTAAGAAGATCCTTCATTTCATGAGAAAGTCTGACAGCTATTGGCGGTTGATGTCTGAACCTAGTGGTGGCATTGATGAGGATTGTCATCACTTCTTCTCTGTTCTTTCAAATATGGAGAAATGGAGAGGTGACACAATACCTGTCAAGATTGGTACGCTGAAGCTGCAACAGTGTGTGACTCTACAACCGGAGAGTGAGCATCTTGTGTGGGGCAAACTGCCTGCATCGGCACCTATATCAGCAGGCAGCACAGTGGTTGTAGAACCAACTCAATCAAGATGCAGGCCAGGAAAGGTTTTGGTTGGTAGAGTTGTTACACCGATGTGGGGCGACAGATGGCTGCCAGTGAAGATCATGAACCCCACTGCTGACCTGGTAGTGTTAAAGAGAAACACAAAATTAGCAGATGTGTCTCCCTGCATCGCTGCCGAAGACTTATCTCAGCCTGACAGCGTTCAAGTTTCCTCCCAAGCTGTGGCAGGTGCTTCTACGACAAGGTCCAGAGGAGATATTAAGAAAGCATTGGATGAGCTTGGTCTTCATGACCTGGATCTGGATGCATGTGAAGTCTCTGATGTGTGGACAGACAGGCTCTTTCAGATCATTGAGAGATATGAGACAATCTTTTCGCGGCACAAGTTGGACTGTGGAGAGGCATCTGACTTTGTGCACAAGATACATTTGGTGGATGAAAAGCCATTCCGCCTGCCTTACCGCAGAGTGCCGCCAAATCACTAT